TGACCAGGCGGCAGCCGGTGGCAGCAAAGGGGTGTCCCAGGGACAGGGAGCCCCCCCAGTTGTTGAACTTATCCAGAGACGGGGCTCCAACCTGCCAGAGGGACAGCACACGGGTGTCACTGGGCTGCAGGGGCCCTGCGTGGCCCCGGGCTCCTCGGCATGTGCGAGCCCAGGGACAGCACGAGACCTCAGTGCAGGCAGGTCCACCCCGAGCTGCCAGAAAGGAGGCAGAAGGACAGAGATTCTCCCATCGCTTGGAATTCTCTCCTCCCCAGCTATTACTATCATGGCTCCATTCCACCTCCTGCTGCCAAGAGGAAAGCTGCCGTTCCCCAAGAAGCTGCTCGTACTGGGATTTGTTATCCCGAAGTTCAGGAAGGTTCTTGCTGAGCAGCAGGGGACCCTGCCCTGCAGCCCGGCCATCCTGCTGCCACGCGAACGGGAACGGCACTAAAGGAAAAAGCTTCCCATTTGGGTCCTTACCTTCGACTTCTTGCCTATGTAGTTTTGTGCAAACCAGTCTGAATCCAGAGCTTTCAGGTTGGCCAGAATTTGTCCCTAGAAGGGAAAAAAGGACAACTTGAACAGGGCTAAGGGCAGACTTGAGGGAAAGCCAATGGTGGCCAGTGCTAGCAGTGCTAAGAGACATCCTGAGATTAGCTAGAGCCAAAAAAACAAACGCATCCAACTGCAGAGAAGTATTTTACAGGATCGCCCCAATTGTAGCTCAATTCTAGCTTGAGAAATACCCTGCCCAGTTAGCATGCCATCTCACCATACTAACACATAGCCCCAAACCAGCTAGCAGATCACTCAGAGAAGGGATTCTGTTTTGTTTTCCCATACCAGGGTCTTGGTGAAGCAAGACTTTTCAGGCTATTTTAGAAGCATCTGTACTCACCTGGTGACTGCCAGCAACATAAACCATCCTCAGCACAGATGATGATCATGTATGAAATGTCAGTCATATATTTAAAATACCCTGATGTAAGCACTGCATACAATTCCCATTTGTGCCTACGTGCAGTTCCACACTTAGTGAAGGTGTCAGTCAGGCACAGTGGGATTTTACAGCTAGAGATGCCCTTAGCGTTCCTGAGTGACTTACAGCAAAGGCTTCGTGGAATTCAAACGCATCAATGTCAGCCATGGTCAGGCCAGTCCTCTCCAGCAGTTTGGAGGTCGCATACGTCGGGCTGCATGAGAGTTAAGAGCTGAGGTCCAACAGGATTGTGCTGCTCACATCCCCCTTCCCACCGGGAGCCGCATTCTCAGCCTGCTCCCCTCCCACCCAAACACAACCCCAGGGAACCACCAGGAGCATCGACACGCTGAGATGCCCCTCAACACAAAGGGGACTCTCTCTGCTCTCTCCTGTCGGCCACCTCCTCAGACTGAGTCACATCTCACACCCCAAGGGGACCCGAAGAGATGCAGTGTTTTAATCAGTGACTTCACAACGAGCCAACGCCGTGGTGAGGCCAGGCCCTTGTGCTGGGAGAATATTCTGCTGGGGGATGCTCTTCCTTATCGTCACCTACCCGAGGAGCAGCTGGTCCTTTGGATCTTGGGACACATAAACAAAGTCCCTGCACAGAAGAAACACTATTAGTAAGAGAAAGAGGAGAGGAAGCAAGAGCGGATTCCAGAGGCCATGCAGAGCCCTCCTTTTACCTGAGGTAGGCCTTTGGCTTGTATCCCATGGCCAGAGCCTTCTCCTCGGACATGAGCAGGATGGCCGAAGCACCATCTGTCTGGAACGGGCACACAAGCACCCCAGTGAGGCTAGGCCCCAAGAGCAACCCCAGCAAGCACAGAACGAGCCCAATGTCCCTGCTGCAGAGCAGCTGCTAGAACAGGGTCCCAAACACAGGCAGTGTCCAGGCTCTGCTGTGGCACCCAAGCACGTTCAGAGCAGACTCTGCTGTTGCATCATTCAAAAAACTGCTTCCCAAAGAGCTATAAGCAGGCACAAGCCTCACACAAAAGGACAATTTCACAAGGAATTATTTATCTCCTGGGACATGCAGATGCCTTATGGTATGGGCCCAAAGTAAGGCTCCAGGACTAAGAAGGTGGATCTGTGAATAACAGCAAACATGCTGCTGAAGCATCTATCGCCCAAATACCCCAATTCTCCCTAATTTCAAACAGGACAGAGGTGCCAACTGCCCTGTCAGCGCTGCAGACAAGCTGGTTTTCCCAACCACTCACCTGCTCTCGCAGCCCCATTCCAAAACTGGAGTATAATTCTCGGATGACACAAGTCATGGGGTCACCACATGGCAAAAATGAACATGATATCCCTGGCTCATGGGCACTTAACACTGGCTGACATCCCAAAGCCGACCTACGGATCTGCTGCACCACACAACGACAGGGACTGCACAGCTCCTGACACCACCAAGGCCACCACCAGGCTCTCTAGAGCCTCCACGAACCCCAAAGAATCAGTGTAATTGCTGCTGAGAGCCCCAGCATTAGTCGTTCGGAGTGGTTATTACAGAGCGTGAGACTGCCTTTTCCCCCAGCACCCAAACTCACTAGGCTATAATGCAGTTCAAAGCCACCCTGGCAAGGTCTCAGAAATGGGTGATATCAGGAAAAAGCCAGTTCGTTCAGATCACACCATTTTAATCCAGGTACCCAGGCAAAGCAGAGGGGAAAAGAGTTTTCCCCTGTAGCCATGAGGGTGATGGGAATGTGCGTTACCAGGAAGGACGAGTTGGCAGCTGTGACTGTTCCGTAGGGCTTGATAAAAGCCGGCTTCAGCTTGGCCATCTGCTCCATGGAGGAAGGACGGATTCCATTATCTTTGGTTACTGTCTCTTTGCCTGTTGATGGAAAAAAATATATATAAAGAAAGTCAGCAACATACACAAATTTGCACTTCAGAATTCCAGAAAAAAAAAACCAGAAAACTCTGCTTTATATGACAAGTGGGAAGATAAAAAAAAAAGGAAAATCCATTAATAGTAACAGAATAATTCTAATGTGGCTAAAAATTAATACTTGGGGAAAAAAAATGAAGCCACATTACTTTCTCTTTAGAGACCAAACTATTAGCTGGTCAAGTCTGTTTACACAGGAGAAAGTTACCACCTGGGAAAAAAAACACGGTTGATAAAATAATTTAAATTTAGAATATAAATTAGAGATAAATTTAGGTTATTTAGATTAAAAGCAGAAGAACTGTTTTTAAATCAGCACATAATTGTATCACAAATTTTGAGGAAGTCAGACCACCACAAGGAAACAAATGTATTTAAGCCAGTCAGTATAACTGGACATGAAAAAGACAGTTTACAAAAAGCACTAATTCTAACTTGAAGACTATAGGTCTCTTTGGGATCTATAGATCTATAGGTCTCTTTAGGAAACCAAAGCCCTCCCTGTGGCAGACTGCAGGATGAGGGTGCAAATCAATCCACAGAAGGGGCAGTTTAAAATTTGTCCCCAGGCTGTTGCACATTGGAGCAATGACCATGATGCCTGGTGGACTGATGTCTTCCAAGTGAATCACATCTCAGGGGCTCCTAAAGAGCACCTGATTTATCAAAACGGGGTTTCATTGGGCTTACCATTTGCTATTAAGTCTGGGTTATAAAAATTGGTTCTCTTGTCAAATAGTTCTCATTTTCCTTGCTGTGGCATCACATTAGCAAGGAGTGGATATAAATACTACAGAATTCAGCCACGCAAGAACAGTTTATAACAGTACTTTTTCAGGGACTGCATAAAACGGGCTGTACTTTTTCAGGGACTGCATAAAAACGGGCTGTTAAAACCTCTAACTGAGATGCACAGAAAACTATGAATCTGAGCACAGTCCTTCTTCCCCCTTTTTAAATAAGCAGGGAGCACGGAAGTGGGACCTGTGTGGAACTGCTTGGACGTGGAGCTGCTAGAGAGGGGCCAGCGCAGGGCCACGAAGGTGATGGAGGGACTGGAGCAGCCGTCGTGTGAGGAGAGACTGAGCGAGCGGGGCCTGTTGAGCCTGGAGAAGAGAAGATTGAGAGGAGATTTGATCAACATGTTCAAGTACCTGAGGGGAGAATGT